TTTTTTTTTTTTTTTTTTTTTTTTTTTTGTAAATGATGAATGTATGGTAGCATTGCTTCCATTGTGAATTTCATTTTGAATCATAATGTATTTTGTTAAAGCATGGGAGGCTTCATAAATATTTCTCCATGCTTCATATTCCTTATGCATTATTATTATTATGTCATGTCCCATCTCCAACAAATCATAATAACATACCATCAAATAATTCCTCTTTCCATAATAATATGCTTATCATTTTGTCTCCTTTCCAATACTATTTCAATTACCCATAAACAACAATAATGCGTTACTGTTTTTCGTTTTAATAAATATGGTATTTTACGTTATAATTTTATTTTATTTTTGTTAAATTTAAATGTGAAATCTCACCTCAGTTGAACAGACGAATGAGTGCTAACAAGAACGCTGCCCTCGAAGGGAGATCAATTATGAGATCCTACATCGACTGGAGAGGGAAATGAGTGTTAGCGAGGATGCTGGAGCTCGAAGGAGGTGGACGATGAGATCTCACGTTGTTAAAGACGGGAATGAAACATTACTAAATTTTGAGATAAGGTTGAGTTTTTATTTTTCCTCAAAGTGAGGGAAGGATGTAATGATTAATGTATACAAATTTAAAGGCATATGTAATAATATTTATAATTTAATTTCATTATGTGAAAGATTTAACTGCTTACTTTGTAACAAAATACCATTAACAATATTACATAATTAATTTTTATACATAAAAGAATATTGTAAATATTTATAATACTGTAAATGATATTAAGTGTCATGTCAATTTTCATCTATTATTTTAACAAAAAATTTAAAAAAAAAAAGTTTAATTTTTTATTTTTTTTTTAACGAAGTTCAAGACTCTAGGTTTCAATTGATAATTATTTTATTTTATTATTTTTTTTCAGAGTTAATTTTGATTGAGTGTATATTAGGTTAATTTTAAGAAATAAACAAAAGGGACATAAAGATAAAGATATAATTGATAGTGTCTCATGTCAATATTGCACTCCTAACCTATGTATTGAAGGTTGGAGATGCACCCGTTATCTAAGATGGACACAGAAAATGATATAACATAGACATGGAAGGTCCAAGTCCCTATAAAAGTTCGGATGGTTAGACTTTTGGAATGCTCCAATGAGATGAGTAACTTATAGGTCGGTCTCGATAGACACATCCGAACAAGCGAAAATGGGTAAACACTCAACGCGTTTTTTGGTACAAAATTAAAAATAATTTTGTATAATTAAAGGATAAGGAGTATAGAATATGATAATTTAGTTGCGGCAATGAATGTGTCCTTGAAATTAGAGAAATGTTTTTGATGAGTTATTAATTGGGGAGAAAATAAATGGAAGAATTGAGCATTTAATTTAAGGAAGTATTAATAATGTTAGTTGGAAAAGACTTAAATGACCTTAACACGTGTTAAAGAAATTTTGGACCAAAATTAAGTCCATGGCTACAAAGTCATGCGCCCAAAATAAAAGGGAATTGTAATAATTATCCATTTTTTCAAACACGACAAATTAAACAAATAATCTTAATCAAAGTTGTATTTATTTAACATTTTTTAAATAATAATTTTATTCCCATTTGTTCACAATTTATTATTATATATATTTTTAACTTTATTTCCATTTTGAAAAGTAGAATTAGTATAATATATATATATATATATATATTTAGATATAATATTTACAATATTTAATTAGATTATATTTTTCTTGTTTATAAGTATTAGTTGATAGTTTGTATCCTATTCAAAGATCACGAGAATACACTTCTTCCTAATTTTATTTCTATTCCTCGTCCTTAACAAAAATATATATATATATAAATAAAACGGATGGAGATTGCTTAATTTTAAAGTTTATTTTTGTTTGTTAAGCTTGGTGGCTTGGTGGCTTGATTTGATATCATAGATTACAATTTTTTTTTTTAATTTTATCTTTATCAAAATATTTGAATTTAACAAAATTCAAAACTTGGTACATAACAATACCAAAAAAAAATTCACACGTACAAATAGTATTTATAATTTTAGTCTTTTTTTTTTAAAATAAAATTCTAAAATTCATTTTCAGGTTAGTTTATTAATTTTTATAAATAGATCTATATTAAAAAAATTATTGAA